ATGAGGAACCAGATGTGGGTTGTCAAATCTCTGATCCTGGTTAGAGAAAGAACATTAGACAGCAGAGGATAATACAACCCTCCTCCCTCAGCAACTAAAACAAGTCTTAATGTGTTTTGTGTATGAGGATGTTATATAGCCCTGATCCACTTTCAATTAATTTTAGTTTAGGAAATACATTTCTGTCCCAAGATTATGAGTATTAACTGTCTTTTCATAGCTGTCAATTTTCTCATGAAAATAAGCATAATAATACTTACCATGTCCCCATTGATTTTCTAATCATTGGTTCATTCAACAAATATTGAGTGCCTGCCATATGAGAGCTACTATGCCAGGCATGGTGGTGTTTGAGGAAATAGAGATGCATGATTTCTGCCTTCTAATGGGGAAGACATAAATTAATTGCATTAGTCCATTAATTGCATTAATACAAACCCAAAATACTACACACTGGGTGGCTTAAACAACAGAAATGTATTGCTCACAGTTTTGGGGGCTGGAAAATCCAAACTTGAAGTGTTAACAAATTTGGTTTCTGGGGAGGACTTTTCCTGGTTTGTAGAGGGCTGCCTTCTTGCTGTGCCTTCACATGTCCTTTTTCTTGTGCATCCTCAGACAAAAAGTGAGATAAAGGCAAAAAGAACTCTCCGTTATCTCTTTTTATAAGGGTACCAGTCTCCTAGGATCAGGGCCTTACCTTCATGACCCATTTAACCTTAATTACTTCTGTCAAGAAATTTTTACCAAATACAGCCACATTAGAGATTAAAGCTTCAACAAAGCTTGAGGGAGAGGGTACACAAACATCACTGCTGGCAAATTATTAAGGTGGTCAGGATTGAAAGAAGAAGCTAAGAAAAACCCTTTGGGGAGAGTTAAATGATATCACCTACCTGGTTCTTTACCCACTCCATTTCTTTGGGTAGTCCATTGTCCAAGACAAGGAGATGTACAAAACAGTCCCCCACTAACTTACCTAATAAGTTCCATTAAACTTTCTTTCCTACAGAACTTCATTGTCAGCAGAATTTGCAAGCAAAACTCCCTAAAAAAATTTTCATAGTTGCCAGGATTGAAAAAAAAAAATCTGCAGCATGAACATCATTCAAAGATGCTTGTGTATTTCTGGTTTCAGAACCCACTCTGCCTCTGCAGCTACCCCTGATGCCCCCTGAAGAAGGCAGCCAGGGTGACCTTGGCCACTGGAACTACACTGTTCTTGCTGCCACTAGAAGATAGCAAAGCACATCTTCTTTAATGATAACTCCTTTTTGTTTTTATTTTATCTTCCTGTTTTGGAGACCTTAGAATAAATTTACTCAGGACTTGACTCAAATAAATCCAACACTTTTCTACTGAGAAGGATTTTCTTGTCTATCCAGAAGACTTTTCCTATCTGAGGGGTTGGAGAATCCTCTACCCTCAATTCTCAGGAATATTAATCCCTCACTGAATTATGTTCACCAAAATTTCACATTGAGGTCCTAACCCAGTTTCTCAGAATGTGATCTTATTTGCATGGAAGGTCTTTAGAGAGATGATTAAGTAAAAATGAAGAGTAAAAGTAAACAAACAAACGAAACTGATATGAACCTTAATCCAATATGACTGGTGTCCCTACAACAAGGGGAAATATGGAGACAGACACACAGACAGGAGGAATCCCACAGGACTAAGAAGACAGCCATCTACAAACTCAGGAAAATCCTTCCCTCAGAACCCTAAAAAGAAATCAGCCCTACCAACATGGCAATTTCAGATGTCTAGCCTTTAGAACTATGAGACAACCCATTCCTATTGTTCAATCCATCCAATTTATGTGGGCCAGTCCCAAGGCCAATGCAGAAAATAATCTGTCTTATTTGTTGTTGAGTAAACAAGTGACTCTGGTCATTGCCTGTCATGCCTGCCAGCACATGTCTTTCTTGAAGGTGGAAGTATTCTCAGTTTGAGAAACAGAAGAGAGCAGGGGTTTGGGGCAGGAGAATCATTCTTGCAAAAGATACTGAGCTTTGGCAGAGTTGATAATGACAAACATACCAGGCAACTCAGTTACGGTCTGGTTCCTGGGGACCCTGTGCACAAGTGTGTTGTTTCCTTGGTGACAGGAAAGCTGCTGGAGAGACAGCAATTTGGGGGACATCTGACTGGTTCTGATGCTAACTGGTTCTGACAGCTTTGATTGGGATGGAAAGATTTATAGTCCCTACTGGTTTTTGCAAATTAAACCCTCCTCTTCTGCTTATAAATATTGATTTATATTAGGGGATTCTCCTGTGACCAGCAAGTTCTCTACCATAGAAGTTGACTTGGTAGAGCTTCTGGCAGGTTTCTGAGATTGGGATCTTTGGAGCATGCCAACAAGGTACAGCTACACCCTAATGTGTTTCTTAGGTGGTGCTTCTGAGGGCATGCATCAGGCAGATCAAGCTAGGAATACAGGAACCACACCAGTTATTTCAACAATGAATTTAATCTAGGCAATTGGTTAGGCAGGTACTGGAAATTGAAAAGGCAAAAGGGGAATATCAAGAAAATCAACATACTCTAGGAAGCAGCCCTGCTTCTGGAGCTGGAGAACAAAGGGGTGAGATTGGAGTTGTAATTACTTAGAAGCTTGGATGAAGGGCCCAGCAAAGCTGGGACCCACACCTTCATGAGTGGTGACTGCCTAGTACTTCTGTAGCTGGAGCTCAGAGCAGAAAAACTAGAAACAGAAACCCATTGTTCTTGGAATAAACTGTCACTGCAAGGTTTAGAAAAGCAGAGATGTTACCCACTCCCACTCTAATATACACAGAGCTCTTGAGTTTACTGTCCTCCATTTTCATGCCTATTTCTAAGAATATATTTTTTTGGTACTAGGGATTTAACCCAGATGTGCTTAACCACTGAGCCACATCCCAAGCCATTTTTATATTTTACTTTGAGACAGGATCTCGCTGAACTTGGCTTTGAACTCACATTCCCGCCTCAGTCTCCCAAATCACTGAGATTAGAGGCACATGCTCCCACAGTCTGCTAAAAATCTTTTACTACAGAGAAATTCAGATAAATGCAAACATAGGTAAAATAATACAGCAACCTCACATACACCTATCAGCAAGACAGAGCAATCATTCACATTCAGTCTTGTTTTATCTAACACTGCCACCACCCACCATATTAGTTGAAGAAAAATCCCCAAGTGCCATTTTGATTCCCCCATTAATATTTCAGAGTATAACTCTAACAATTATTATTTTTTAAAAGTATGCCATACCACCACCACCACCATGGCGATCTGCATAAGAAATGGGGGATATTTTAAAAGTTGGATGCTACAGACCTGGTACTGGAAAGGGCCTTGTGGGGGGCAGTTGTGGAGAAGTGGTTATCCTCATTATTTCCAGCTCCCTTCCTGAATCTGTGGATATTGATATCAATGCACAACCCTTTAAGCCACGTAGGGAGACCCACCTTGGATCCAGGGGCTTCTGGCTTTCTTTTTTCAGGGAGAGATGCTCGGAAGTCACTCTTTGTTGGAGGAGGCCTTTTTTAAGGGGTTCTGAGTGATGTTTTCACCTCTTACTGTACCACTATCACCACTTTGGCCAGTTTGGAGTCTAGGTAGGGGATCCTGTCAATAGGAGAAGTTTGGGGACTGTCCTACTTCAAGTGTTGAAGGATCAGATCCTTGGATTGAAATGCAAGGATCTGACTAGCTTTTTAACTGTGTGTCTCAACTCAGTGCCTCGGTAACCTTACCTTTGAGACCAGGACCCAAAGAGTGTTAAAGGTTCCACTGGGCAAAGAAATAGTGGGGCATGCCCAGGGAGCCTGGGGCTAGCACTGAGTAAGGGGAACAAAATCCTCTCCCACTCCTGCCCACAGAAAGAGGATGATAAATTTCAAGTAAAAAGGGATTGTCAGAGATTAGCCGAGCGACTTTTGCTTCTCAAAAAGCTGGGTAGTTTTATCATACTATGTGCAGCTGAAGACCCAGCCACAAAAGGGACCACTGATAACAGAGATTCTGGGTCTTTGTCTACCATGCTGTTACTGCTGTTTACCAGTGATGAGTCCTTATTTCCCAGATGCAGAAATATAACACCAGAGAAACACACAGAGGCAAGTTTAGAGTAGAAAGTAGAAGCTTTATTAAAGGACAGCAGAAAAGACTTCTCCCGGGAGGAAAAAGGGGACCTAAGAGGTAAAATCCGTGGAAGGGGGAGGTCTTCCCTCTTTTTATAGCTAAGGTCTCCATTCAGCTTTCCCGCATTCCTGTCAGCATTCCTGTCCTTTGTTCTGTTATCTTGCAGTGTTAGAATGTAGGCAGGAAAGCCCAAAGGTGAGGGACAGATGGGCCAGAAGAGTAATCTGGGCAAGAAGGGCCTGGGAGGCTTTCTATTAGCACCTCCCTGTTTGCTGGGAGCTGCTTCATTAACATTTCCTTAGAATGGGCTCTGGGCTTGGGAACATTAACATTTCAATTTCCCCAAGTGCTTCTCTGCTTTTCTGGGCTCCATTCTCATTATGGTCTTCAATTCTGGCCTTCATTTTTGATTTTACTCGATGTTAGACCTGATTTAACCTAATTACACTAACTACCTATCTTCAAATCTGGCTTTAATGCCACATTGCTCCTGGTGGCTTTCACATGGTGGGAACCCCAATCTTTCCCTTCCACATGAGAGGGCCTGCAAGCATGCACGTGAGGTGGGGGTGGGGAGGGATAACTAAGGACAGAAGTGGTGGCAGGCCCATGGGGAGGGCAGAGGAGTTGGCAGTTCTGAGACTCCAGGATGATCACATGCATAGTCCTGGATGCTGTGTGAAGGTGGATGCCACACTTATGATCAAGCACAAGAACCCATGCTTAAAAGCGTTCCTCACTTGGTTTAATAACCTGCTGTCACCATTTTGAAATTCTTGAAGTTTTTAAACAAGAGACCTAGATGTTCATTTCACACTGGACCTCACAAGTCAGGTAGCCAGTCCAGCCTGGCAATAACCCATCAACTGTGTGAACTGCAGCACCCTTGAGCATCCCAAGTGAAGGACAGAAAGCTGATCCAGCCAGGGATGTCATCCAGCACAGCTGTTTACAAGGAGACAGAAAAGTTGAGGAACCAGCAAGTAAAGGGTTCAAGAGATCAAGCTAGATTGCATCTGGGATGGGAAAGGAAGCAAAGCCAGCAGCAGACTGGTGTATCTGAGGAAAAGTAGAGTCCCTAAACAACTTTGGGAGATGGTGTCTCAAAATTAAAAAAAAAGAAAAAAAGAAAAAGAAAGTGCTGGGGGATGTAGCTCAGCGGTAAAGTGTTCCGGGATTAAATCCCCAGTACCTGTCCCACCAAAAAAAAAAAAATCCTATTTAAAACTTCATTCCCAATGTGCTCAGACTATCATTTACTTTTCCCATTTATTCCTGTAATCAAGATGTTTTGTGGAGGGCCATTTTGTACCTGGCTGTGGTGAGCCGTGTCAGCGGACCGTGGTCGCCATTACAAGATGGCGCTGATAAGCGCCGTGGCCTGTGATAAACAACTCCTTATTTTGGGAGAGATGGCACATAGCTGTAAAACACCCTATGAGAAAGGTCCACGTGGCAGTTTTGCATTGGGGCTTGGTATGCTTTATCAAGGCTGGGGCGCTCGGGTGAAGCAGTAACAGTAGAAGTAACAGTAGCAGTAGCTGTAGTAGAAGTAGAAGTAGTAGTAGTAGTAGTAGTAGTAGTAGTAATAGAAGAAGCTTCCAGAGACACATAATTAAAGGCCTGAATAAACTGCTGAAAGAAGATTCCCGAGTTGCGTCTTCCTTGCGGGCAAGGGGTCACAACACCTGGCTCTATGCCAGGCTGCTAAGACTCAAAAGCAAGCAGCCTATGCCCTCATAGCACTGCTCAGCCTCTAACATCCTACCACCCAGGGGTGACAGGCTGCCAAGGATCCCCACTACAAGGGATTCAAGGGCTCTGCCACCCTGTGCTCTTGTCCTTGGCTTCTTGGCCCAGATCCAAAAGCTTAAATGGTCTCATGCTGAGCGTGGAGCAGGGCTGCCCAGACACAGAGAGCGCTGACACAGTTAGAACTGTGGAAACCTCCCCTCCCCAACACACCTACCCAAACACTTTCCATCGCCTTGTACTGACAAGGAGTGTCTGGCCTCAGACTTCATGTTGGTGGCCAGTGCGAGTTGTTCTTCAGCCTTCTTCCATTCCTCCTTCTTGGCATAGAGGAAAATGATGTTATCCAATACCTGGAAAGGCAGAGGCCACTACTGAAATCTTGAGGCTCCTTCCTGTCAAAGGCCAGCAAAGGGTACTCACAGGGCATGGCACCTGGTAACACTTCCCCTCCCTGCTCCCCTGGGTGGCATATTTGTTTCGAAACCCAGTTCTGTCAATCACTAGCCTGGTGCTAAGATAGCATCTCATGATGGGTCACCTCAACATCTGTATGTTCTTCCAACAACCAAAGGGGGTCCAAGGGGACAAGAGCTCAAGGGGACTGTGTGATTTTAGTATGGAGATGAGTGACTTGCCCAAGGCCTCTTGAAGAGGCAGAGAGAGGACTGTGACCTCCCAGTCCATAGGACCCAATATATAAATATAAATAAATAAATATTTATTAATTTATTATTTATTATTTATTCATTGTAAAGTAATATATGTATTACTTTACAATGATATAAAAGTAATGTGTATTCATCACAAAAGGTACTGCAATTTTTTAATTTGATCTTTTCTTGGTTCAGCGATATGCACTACAACAAACTTGCAATTTGGGCCTTGGCAGTGAGCCCCAGCTCCCAGTAACCAAGCCATCATTGGGGAACAGCCCCCACCCTGCAGTGGACTGTGTTGCCAAACTGTGATGGTCAGTAAGTCAGGTGCATGACATGCATTTTCAACTTAGGGCATTTTAAATTTAAGATGGGGGCGCTGGGGCTGGGGCTCAGTGGTAGCACTCTTACCTAGCATGTGTGAGGCACTGAGTTTGATTCTCAGCACCATATATAAATAGATAAGTAAATAAAATAAAGATCCATCAACAACTAATAAAAAAATAAAAATAAGTAAATAAATTTAAGATGGGTTGATCTGCACAGGTCTGGAAGCATCTGTATGTGCTTATCTACTCCTAATCGTGGGTAGAAAGGAAAGGAGAACTCAAGGGGGTTCAGAACTTCCTGTTTGGTTCTCAGCCACCTTCTCTTAAAATCTTTACCCACAACAATTTTTGTGACTCAGTGACTAGAAAAACCTTGAGACTCCTTGACATGAATGCTGTGATTTCTCAGAAGGCAAGGAGGTGAAACCCACGTGGGACGAGATGAACAGAATTAGAAATAGGGAAATGACTGTGACATAGAGGGCTTCAGGTCCCCAAAGATGGAGCTCCACTTGCAAGGAGACCCTCTCAGTCAGCATTTACTGTTCCTTGGGTCATTTCAACCCCTGCTACAGTGAGGATGTCCCTTTCATAGAGTTCTGCTGGGATGTCACTGTGGCATGATCCTTTCTCTAGTGCCACTTGACCCCCCCAACCCTATGTTCTGTGTAAGTGGTAATGGGATGACTGGCAATGTTGAGATAGTTTCACCACCACAACTGAGGGTAGCGTACCTCTGGCATCTAGAGGGTAGAGCCCAGAGGCAAGCATCACCCAGTCCATTGTAACAGCAGTTCTGTGGCTGAAAATCTCACCTCTAGAACAGCCAATAACAAGCCTAAACTGCCCACTCTGTGAGAGGTAAAGAAAAGCTGCTAGCCTGCACTGGGGCTGAGATGTCCCCAGGAATCCTGGGCAGCTGTGGACTCTTATTTTTAGTCCTGAGTGACCCTAGGAACACTTGACATCTTGTGCCTGAGAAACTGTCAGAGGAAAAGAATAGTCTAGAGTCTGTTGGTCTTGTAGACACCAGCAGTTGTTGGAGGGGAGACAGAGGTATGATTAAGCCAGCAGGTAAGGAGGGCTTCAGAGGTAGAATAGATGGGAAAGCTGGGCCAAGGCCTAGAAATGCAGAGCCTAGTGGAGGATCAGGCAAGCTCATACTGTTGATGATGGGGCCAACATGCGGATGGGAAAGCATGGGAAGACAGGGGTGAGGGGTCTAATTGGTAACAGTCCAATAAGCAAGCGAAGAACAGTCCCTGTTATTCAGAAATCTAAGCAGGAAGCACAAAATAAGTTGACCGCCAAGGACAAGAATCCTAGCTGCCATACAAGGACTTGGGGACAAGACTGGACTGGTAGGGCTGGGGATATGGCTCAAGTGGTAGCGCGATCGCCTGGCATGCGTGCGGCCGGGGTTCGATCCTCAGCACCACATACAAACAAAGATGTTGTGTCTACCAATAGCTAAAAAATAAATATTAAAAAAAAAAACTGGACTGGTAGAGACTGGGGGTTTACCCAAGCCCTAGAGGGACTAGGGAACAGACAGGTTTCCAGCACAAAGACCAGAGCACCAGCTGCCAAAAAGAAGGTCAATAACAAGACTGGGGTAAAAATTGCATCTCCCACACTGCACAAAATTCAACTTGAAGTAAATCAAACACTTAGAAATTAGACCAGAAACTCTCCAACTCCTAGAAGAAAATGTAGGCTCAACACTCCAACATCTTAGTACAGGCACCAACTTTCTTAACAAGGCTCCTAATGCACAAGAAATAAAACCACCTCAATAAATGGGATGGCATCAAATTAAAAAGGTACTGCCCAGCAAACAAGCCAGAACAATGAGAAAGTCTACAGAATGGGAGAAGACCTTTGCCACTAATGTCTCAATCAGAAGATTAATATCCAGAATGCATAAAGAACTCAAAAAACTTAATAACACAAAAAAATTCATAAATGGGGAAAAGAACTAAACAGACATTTCTCAAAAGAAGGACAAATTACCAAAAAACACATGGAAAAATGTTTAACAACTCTATCAATCATGAAAATCAATATTACACTGAGATTTCTTCTTACTCAAGTCACAATGGCCATTATCAAGAATACAAATAATAATAAATTCTGGTAAGGGTATAGGGGGAAAGTTACATTCATACATTGTTGGTGGGACTGCAAATTAGTACAATCACTTTTGAAAACAGTATGAAGATTCCTCAGAAATCTAGAAGTGGAACCACCATATGGTCTAGTTGTCCCATTCCTTAGTATCTAACCAAAAGAATTAATATCAGCATATTATAGTGGTATAGCCTCATCAATGTTTAAATAAACACAGATCACAATAATCAACTTATGAAACCAGCCCAGATGCCTGTCAATAGATGGCTGGATAGAGAAAATATATTATATGTGCACAACTGAGTTTTACTCAGCCATTAAAAAAAAAAAGAATGAAATTATAGCATTTTCTGGTTAATGGATAAAACTAGGTCATCATACTCAGTGAAATAAGCCAGACTCAGAAAATCAATGGTCAAATGTTATCTCTCAAATATGGAAGATATTATTATCATCCTGATTTTACCAAAGGGGGGGGGCAGATTATATCACTTGCTCACAAGCTCCCAAAAAAGAGAAAAATAAAGGAAATAGTGAGGGGACCCCATAAAAATAAAAGTGAGATCAATGAAATAGAAGAAAGAGATTGGGTGGGGGGAAATGAATGGGAAAAGGGAGGAACACCAGAATGAAATTGACCAAACTATCCTATGTATATATATAAATATACCACAGTGAATTTCACCTTTATGTATATCCATAAAGCGCTAATGTGCTAATAAAAAAACTATAAATAAGTAGAAGACCAGCAGAACAGAGGAAAGGAAACAGGAAAGGGACAGGCAGAGGAAAAGCCTAGAGATGGAATTAGCGCCAACTATATTTCATGCTTGTATAATCATGTCAAATGATGCCCAATATTATGTATAACTATAATGCACTATTGGTGGTAGGAACCCAGGTGGGCTGCCTTGGAAGGCAGTGAAAAGGCTGGTACCTCCTTTTCTGGCTCCTTCCCAGGCACTTACTGCTCTGCCCATCATTCCCACTGGCCACATCACTCTCCCAACATTTTGGTCTCCTCTATCAGTCTGAATGTTCCAGGAAGGGTCACTTGTTTACCTGCTGATACTCAATGCAAAGCAAGCCACTTGGAACATAGTAGGCCTTTAAAATTGTTGTCTGGCTATCTGGGTCCTAGCTGGCAAGACAGCTCAGTGGTCCCTTGGCTAGACAGCAGGTGGCTGTGGATAGCTGGGAGCCTGTTGCACACTCACGTACAAACTGCCGCGGTTCTAACCTTGCCTCAGCTACTGCTAATTGGGCCATATTGTGAGGAATTCAATCCCACTGCATCGAATTTTTCTAACAAGATGGGAATTTATACTTTTTTATCTTATTATGCGCCTTTCAGTTGATGTATAAAGAACATAGGATAGTGCTAGACATGCCACGCACTTGTTGTTATCATATGATGACAGATAAAGAACATTTTATATGTGCGCATATTGTAGCTGTCACAGCCAGCAGCAGAGGCTTAGCATCTCCCAAGGAGCACGGGAAGATGGCAGCCTCCCACAACCCACCCTCAATTAACGTTCCTTAAATGTTAGCATCGTGGCCCAGAAGAACAGAAAGGAGATGCATCCCTGAGGCAAGTCGCGCGTTCATGGGGTGAAGCAGCGTGTCAATCGTGCGGTCCCCATCTCTTTGCTCAGGGCTGGTGCAGCTGTAACTAACTCGTTCGCCTGCCTGGAAGGGGCGCCTGCTGTTCCCAGCACCTCTGAGAGGCGGGCGCCTCCTGGAGGCCGCTGCTATGTCTGCGGGGATGCCCACCTGCATTTGGGGTTGTGGCGGGGTGAGGGAGATTGTGGCCCTGGAGGAGGGTTCATTCATTCTATTTTGTGCATAAACATTTATAGACACTGCTGTGTGTTAGGATCGTTATTTATGGGGGGAAAATAAAACGAACATCTCATCTCTCGGTGCATTCATGGCATGATGGAGAAGATAGATCATCAACAGGTAATTCAATAATTCAATGTGCATCACAAAGAGCTGGGAAAGAGATGGATATCAAGGAGGAAATAACTAACCCTTCATTCCTCCAAGCTTTGATTTGTCCTGGTGCTAGTTCAAGGCACCAAAAAAATAAAGACAGGAAATAAACAGTCATCCTGCTCCCGAGGAGCACATAGTCCCATGGGAGTACAGACAGGCAAACTTAGAACTAAGAGGCAAACTTAGAAATAAGGGGCAAGGCAAGAAGGGACCAGCCAGGCATGGGAAGAATGG